ATATATATATATATATATTTAATATATATATAACGGGTAGAAAATGGGGTGGGTCGGATAGCGGGACAACAAATGCCGAATATAAGTGGGAGCGGTCGGGTTCAGACTAAAACCTGGCGGGAGTGGGATTAAAAATTTAGTCCCGTGCAGATCTCTTGTCCGTGCTGACAAAATCATCTTGGAGTAATAAAAGACTAAAGTCACTAGTCAATTAAACGAGTAAACGTTATAGCTGTCCATGGAAGTCATAGTGTGTGAATGTGTGCCTTTGATACTTACATGCCAGTCACCAGAACCACTTTAAAGATGTGCTGCACATTTGAAGAAGGATTTCCCATGCTGATATTCAGCGCTCGATCGATGCTGTAGGCAACCTGTCGAAGGTAGCGGTCAGCTTCCTGTCCAAACCCATCGTACGGCACATAGATGTAAGGAAAAATCCCATGCAGATGAAGGCATGTTTTCTGGCCTATAAAGAATAAAGAAACGGCATCAGATCAACTAAACGCATATGGGGATAAGTGAATGCAGGGATGGTATTCCAAATGAAGCAGTTCAGTTTTCCTGTGTTAGAATTTCTGGTCAACAGCACAACCCTCTTCAGTACTTGTGGTTTTATATGGGATAAATTTTCCATCAAAAATATTGGTCACAGATGGGAAAATACTAAATTATAATAAACAATGGTTCAGGTGTGTCTAACTCACGGACGAAACTAACTTTGCAGGACACCGGCCCTCAGGGGCGGACTGGGTATAAAAATCCGCCCTGGTACTGTAGCCATACCAGCCCACGTTACCACACGGATCAGCTCCACGGATCACGCGGATCAGCTACAGGACACACTCCCATGCACGGACACGCACATTCACTGCTTAGATTGGTGTACAGATGGTGAAATAATATAAGCAGTACCATTTGTAATAGATATTTAAACATTTAATGTGAGTGACTGGAACAAAAAAAAAAACAAATTAATAACAAATTTATATATGCAATCATTTCATTCATTCATTTTCTTTTCGGCTTAGTCCCTATATTAATCTGGGATCCCCACAGTGGAATGAACCACCAACTTATCCAGCATATGTTTTATGCAGTGGATGCCCTCCAAGCTGCAACCCATCACTGGGAAACCTCTTTACACACACACATTCACATACATGCACTACAGTTTACGGTGGTAAAATTTAGCCTACCCAATTCACTTATAGCACATGTGTTTGCCAGAAAGAAAGGCTGGCATTTGCCAGAATTGCCAGATGGCCAGTCCGCCCCTGCCAGCCCTCCAGAACTGAGTTTGGGCACCCTTGGTTTAAGGTAGGATTTTAAGGCAAAAATGCAGGTTAATTAATCACCAATTAATTAATTTTTAAGATTTGCAAACGATAACTATAAACGGTTATTGTAAAGTTACCACATGGCATACTTTTGTTTTCTTAGAGCCAAGTGGTTTGGGGTTAGGGAGCTTTATTTGTCAGTGACAGGACAGGGGTAAACAACATAGTTACCAAATAAAACGTCGAATATTTACCCATAAAACATACATAAATAATCTTGACAGCCACTAATACTACAATAATGTTTAGAAATATACGTTTTTATTTTCAGTTAGAATCGTCTCGGTATTGAGAAATAATCACAAAATCGCCCAACAATAATCCTGTGTCTTCCTCCCATGCAGAAACCATGAACCACAACCAGTGTCACGCTCACACGACTGACATAACACATTGAGACTCTTGAACATGTGCACAGATGCTGTTAGTTGATTTTGTAACGTGCTTTCGAATTGTATGATAACAAACATCGCAGCAAAGCCCAAGCGTAAGGGTTTAGCGGTTAGCCTACACGGCTGGAGTAAACATGTCCACATGGCGGTCGAACAGAGTTGACAACATGGCGCATGGATCAAAATCACACAGTAATCGGTTCCTTCCCAACTTGCAATTGCGTGTTAAATCAAAAGCATCATAGACTGCAAAAACGCAATACTGCGGCTTTACACTAAAATGTCTGCAACAGTTAAATGAATTTTCACAAAAATTAATGCATGCATGCATGTATACCTGCTGGTGTGGCCCCGAAGATCCGCACCACGGGCACTTTTTTGACATCGCTCTCTCTGAACTCGGAATAGCAGACGTCCAGCTCTCTGATCGGGCTGCTCATGTAGTAATCCGCCGTGACGATCCGCACTGAAAACATGTTTATCCTGCAAAACCAAACAGAACATGACATGACAATAAATGAAATAAAAAAATTTACGATGAAGGCAAAGACAGCAGTGGATCCTAGACTTTCCTTTGAGGCGACTGACGTTAGGTCTCTGAACAGATCTACGAAAATCGTGGCGGCTTTAATCACAGCGGGATTATCTGAAATATGGAGCGCGGAATATTCGACAGTTTGTGCAGCAAGCGACTGCCAAAGAGCGCATTCTTATCTAAACGCTTCACATATATAATGTTACATTTTTAAACAGAAATCCAATCTGCACTCCCCCGCCTCTACAATACAATCACGACACGACCCTATCATTCCCATCCTTTCCACATCCATGCAGAACGCGCTGCAGCATTCCTTGCACTCGGCAGCTGGGTCAAGATAGTTCATATTACTTCTGCTGCGGAAGGAAACTATGAATGTTGTCTTAGCCGTCATTGGTCAACGCAAGGACAAGTCGCCGTCTGATTGGCTTCGACAGACAATCAGCGCGCTGATTGGCTTGTGTTAAACGGAAGTAACATGTCATTTAAAATACAATAAAGGCCTCACACATTAGCTATAAATGTATTGATTTTTTATTTTTATTAATTCACTCATTCATTTTTTTGTCGGCTTAGTCTCTTTATTAAACCGGGGTCACCACAGCCAATGAACCGCCAACTTATCCAGCAAGTTTTTATGCAGCGGATGCCCTTCCAGCCGCAACCCATCTCTGGGAAAAATTTTGTTTTAATTTTTATTTATTTTATTTTATCATTATTATTTTTTATTGGAAATACGAAATCAAAATACAATAAAAGGGCATTCAACTTAACAAATAGTGTATCACACATGGAAGGCTCAACACAAACTAATATACAAAAATACAAAAAATGTGAATTACAAAAAAAATTCTAAGTAAAATAAAATTAAAAGTGAAAAAAGAAATTAATATGAAACAGGAATCGGCTGTGGCAAGTTATATGATACAAATAAATTAAGCATTTTGAAGGCAATTTTTGTTTATATTTTAGCCAGGGCATCCGAAAAGATTTTAAGTTCTTTTATAAATACAATGAGTAGTGGAGGTGTTTTGAAATATCTGCATTAATGAATAAAATATTTGACTAATACAATGATCATGTTTAGCAAATCGTGCAAAACAGAGAGTAAATCCATAAGCACACCTTGTAATGTGAAAGTCAAACCTTCAGCATTCACATTCTTTATACCAACCAGTCTTGCACTTTTTTCCAAAATGATTTAACAGAGCTGCCAGTCACTGGGTTGAGTTACTGGGTTGAATTATTTTTATTATTTTTTATTATTATTATTATTATTTTAAGGATTTTTTTTTATTGAATGCTTGAAAAACAATTACAACAAATGTTATGAATGAAACAGCAACAATCCAGGGGTTTTTAGTCATTTAGTCTAAGATAAGTGCCAAGTGTTACTGGGTTGTATTACCCGCCCCTCCCTCCGGTAGGCGTGGCTTTTAGATTATGACGTGAGGCCATCCATAGGTGCGCTCTGCGCTGTTTGTCTGCAGCTTGATTGGATGGTTCAGGCATTTTGCTCCGCAATATTTGCATCAAGAAAATGTGGACTTCCCCTAAAATTGAAGAGCAGAGGAGAACATTTCCTGATTAAACCGAAAGCAGGTGTGACACTGCGTACAGCTGTGAACAGGTAAGAAACTGTCATGTCGTCAAACTATCCATGTTTATGTTAAAATACAAACAACAATAAAAGTAAATGGGTTAAACTTTACTGTTGCTATCTATGTCTGTGCTTGCGATGCTCTTTTTATTGTGATGTTGATTTTGTCTTACCCAATCAGATATCACTGTCCGTTTCCAGGAACAACCTAAAAGAAAAGCAATGGAATCTTTTCCAGGTAAATCTGTCGTTGGAATTGTTTTGAAGAGTTCATTTCTGCATAAGTGAGTCTGCTTAGTACATGTCCGGGTTATGGTCACGACGAAACATGGAATATCATGCAATTTTAAAAGGTCTTTTCCAGAACAGACATTTATAATTTATAAAATAAAAACATCAATTAAAAAGTCATAGAATTATTATTTGTATTCTTTTTCCATTTATCAAAATGTATATTTCTATACAATGTTTATTTTGCATTGCTTCAGATGTTTTATATCTTGCTGTGGTACGGCTATTTTTGTGCATTTTTATTCTTTTCCACTTGTCAGTCAGCAGTCAGTAAAAGCGATAGCTCGCATACAAATCTAAAATTCTTACATCCTTTACTCACTTTTTATTGTTTCACACCTAAATGATAGGGCTGGGTATTGGCAAGGACCTCACGATAGGATACATATCGCGATACATGTGCCACAATACAATATATCACGATACAATACTTATTGTGATATATTGCAATAGTTTGTATTGGTATGTGTGTCGTTATATTGACAACTTGATAAAGTCAGCAGACGAATTAAAATTCCAGTTTATCTTCTATCCATTTCAATTCATTAGAACTGCACAGTGTGATTGAACAGAGAACTCTCTGAAATGTACTAAATGCATATTGTTATTAAACACTTAACTAAAATCTATATTCCCATAAAGTCACATATAAATGAAATAAACAATTTATAAAGCTAAAGCAATAAAATGCAAAATCAAAATGCATCAAGCAAACATGAAACTGGAACACAGGGGGATTTGATCTGCAGTGAACTATTAGAAACTGACAGTGCGACCGACAGCATCGTGATCATTTAGCTGTGAAAACTGGTCGCACATAGGTAAATTGAAATCCTTCTATTTTATGTCCCATTCCTCCTATGCAGTTTTCAGTAACTCTGCAATGTTAATTGAGGTAGACGGAAGCTTGTTAATGATGTTATCCAGTGTAGTTTGCCTTAAATCAAGAGGTTTTAGTTGAGGTTGCAGTGCTGCTAATTCATCTGCGTGGCATCTTGTTAAGTGAAAACGCAAGTTCGTAGTGTTTCCTGAATATTTTAAGATACATTTGCTTGCAAACGGCATTTTTCTCAAAGTCAGTACACACATATTTTCCACCATGCTCACTCATGTTTATTTCTGATACCATACTACTTAGCATTTTGTTAATAGCAAGTTAGCGACATCTACTGGAGCAGAGTTGGAGGTTGTGTTCGGCACAACTTGAATCAATACTTCAGGTTGGACTATCGATACACTATCGTGAAAGAAATGATCGCGATAGTTAGATATACCGATATTTTTGCACAGCCCTACTAAATGAGTTTTTAACGTTGAACAGAAGACGATGTTTTGAAAAAATGCTGGAAACTTGTAACCACTGACTTTCATAGTATTGCTTAGTGAATGGTTACAAGTGTTCAACTTTCTTGAAAACATCATCTTTTGTGTTCAACGGAAAATAGAAACTTATAAAGGTTTGCTACTACTTTATGGTAAATAAATAGTAATTATATTTAATTTTTGGGTGAACTATCCTGTTAAAGTGCCATATATTAAAAATGTGAATATACTTGGACGTAGCTTAACAATAAGGGTTGAATAAATGGAAATGGCCATACAGTGAGCCTTGGTAAAAAACAGGAATACCCTACTAAGGGGTTTTAGAGGGGTTTTGGCCATTTCCAGGCTGGTTTCCAGCCATTTCCAGCCTGGTCTTAACTGGTCAGGCTGGGAGATGACCAGCTAACACCAGCTTGACCAGCCTAGCCAGGCTGGGAGCCCAGAACAAACCAGCTATGTCCAGCTTAAACCAGGCTGGTCAAGCTGATTTTAGCTGGTCATTTTCCAGCCTGACCAGCTAAGACCAGGCTGGAAATGGCTGGAAACCAGCCTGTAAGTGGGCTAAACCCCTCTAAAACCAGCCTGGTCAATCAGCTAAAACCAGCCAACCAGCCTAGGCTGGTCTGATTCTGTAATTACCCCCTCCCCTCAGAGTTAAGAGTTTGGGGGTCATCTTCGACAGCACCCTTTCATTCACTGCACATGTTAATAATGTCACCCGGTCCACCTATTTCCACCTTCGAAATATAAATCGTTTACGTCCTTCCCTCACACCTCATTCAGCTGCCATTCTTGTTTATAGTTTAGTCACATCCCGTTTAGATTACTGTAATTCCCTTCTGTTTGGCCTCCCTAAAAAAAACTCTTCATAAATTACAACTGGTACAAAACGCTGCAGCCCGTATTATCACAAAAACCCCCTCTGTCTGTCACATCACACCCATTCTGCAACAGCTTCACTGGCTTCCCATCTCTTTTAGAATTAACTATAAAATACTTCTTCTCACTTTTAAAGCCATCCACAATCTCGCTCCTCCATACCTTACTAATCTTGTTCATATCGCCACACCTTCTCGAACACTCAGGTCTTCTTCTTCTATTCACCTTACTGTTCCCTCTGTCCGCCTTGTCACCATGGGGAGCAGATCCTTCAGCCACTCTGCTCCTCAGCTTTGGAATTCACTCCCTCCTGATCTCCATAATTTAGACACTCTTTCACAATTTAAGTCCAGACTCAAAACACATCTGTTTAGAACAGCCTATTCTCTTTGACCCGATTGCATTTTTAAAGCTTGTATTGTATTCTATTGCTTATTGTGTTTTTATTTGAATTGATTGTTTTAGCTGTCCTGTACGGTGACCTTGAGTGTCATGAAAGGCACCTTTAAATAAAATGCATTATTATTATTATTATTATTATTATTAAGTTGGATTTTTCAGCAGGGTATCAACATGAAACAGACTGTTATCTTATTTTTAAGTATCTAAGCTTGTGTTAAACTATGTATGCGTGACTAAAAATGGCAGATGCAGGGAGACCAGTTAAGACCAGTGTCATGCCTTACAGATTTTCTATGTGTTGCTAAGTGGCATAGCTTTCCTCCAGCCATTTGTTTACTGTCATCATAATGCAAAATGCAGTATGGGCGTATCATAAAACTATTCAGCACGCCTCTAAGAGGCATAAGTAGGGGTGTGACGAGACGCATCTAATGAGATGAGATGAGACAAGAGACTGGGATGACAAGAATGAGGTGAGACAAGATTTTTACAGTGTAGGTGCATTATTGAAACCGGCTTGTACTTTATGAAATAAAACTTCAAAGTTGTCAATTTACTGATTGATCTACATTCCTACTCTCCAATATAGTCCTAAACTTTGGGTCATGACCGAAAGGACGAGATCTTGGATACAAGGGGCTGAAATGAATAATAGGGAGCCAATGCAATAATGACTCTTGAGCTGGCCATGATTAGACCTGTTGACAAACAGTCAAAACACAAAGCAACAAATCTTTATTTTCAGTCAATAGAATTTCTCGGGCCCGTTTCAGAAAGGAGGTTGAGTGAAAATTCAAGAGTATTTTAACCCTGAAATGAGTGAAACTCTGGGTTTTCCATTTCAAAATGGCAGGTTTTTTTTTAAACTCGAGAAAGCAGGGTAAGTCAAGCCTGTTTCTGAAAGAGAGGTAACTTTAACTCCGAGTCAGTTACCGTAGTAACTTACTCTGTAAATCTAACCTGGTCAGGAGCAGGTTTTATTCTCTAAACTCTGAGTTTCTGTCGGTCTCCTCCTCCTTTTTAAAGACGAAGCGGTATTTCTCGCCTTACCCTTACGTTTCCACCCACCTATTTTAATGCTCATTTTGGAGATGCGCATGAAAACGACTGATGGAAACGTTTTCTGAAAATACACATAATAAAACATGCGCATAACTGAGTAGGATAAACTTTTTTTATTCGATTTAAAAAAATGTGCATAAACTGCGATGGAAACACTTTTACTGAACAAATTCCAGTATGTGCATTAAAAAAAAGTTTATAATAAGAGATGATGAAGTAAATGTATGTGAATAGACAAACCAGCAGGCTGAGCACACTGTAACACATCTGAAATGTTGTTTCTGTCATTCTTAAACGCCTTAACCATTTCAGTATTAATTTGTATTATTAATTACCTCCTATAGTGTCTGTTCTCCACGTCTCAAGGCTTCAAACGCCCCCACATGTTCACTGTGTATCAACATTGTCTTCTGAGGCGCAAGAACATTTATTAAATAAAGAAAAGATTGACGCAGCTTCTTCTTCCGCAGTAAATTCTGTTTTTACTGTTGATATTTGGTGCCTGTTTAATCAGGAAGTGTTGATTTTTTTTGTTCTCTTTAACTCGTTGTATGGAAACGCTTCTTTATTCGCACATATTTAATGCGTTATTGCAGTTTTGCACATAAATTAAATTAATATTTTTGTATGGAAACACAGCTCTTGTCTACATTTCAGTCACACATAGAACAAAGTCACGTACGAGAATGGCTTGTCCTTTTTAATAAATAAAGCTTAAATTCACTGTCCTTCCACATGTACTGTAACTAGATTATTGGGATTATTACTCTTTATAAAAACTATTGTTTAGTTCTGCTTACATTCTAAATGTCATATCAACCTCTATCACCTTATCAATAACAGAGGCAGACACACAAGTGCACTTTTACATCTATTAAAACTGATCAACGTGTGTAAAAGTGGGAACGAGTGTAAAAACTTCATAAACGTCACACATTACATTACTTTTTTTATTATACTTAAAATATTTAAATACTTTAAATGTAAAATTAAAAGTTTTCCCACACTAGCTGTCTCTGTTTCACTGATGAAATGATGTTGCTTTTTTTTAGATATCTGCTCATATTTGCTATAACTTTGCATGAGCAGATCAAGTTCAGCTGGGCCCGGTTTTTCAAAAGGTTTAATCTGTGATGGGATCAGTTAAATCAGGTTTTTTGGATCAATGTGATCCAAATCCTACAAAAAAGGTCTGAAAAACCCAAAACTAAAGGTTTGATCCGGATCAAAACCAAGATTGGATTACGTGATCTAATCCGATTAGGTAATCCGTTTTTTCTTTTGAAAAACCCATTTTCAAGATTTGATCCAATCCCTTATCCAAAATCCCAGTGGATTACTTTTGAAAAACCGGGCCCTGGAGACAGAAATGCTGATCTCTTTTTAAGATGTTGCCATGGTCACTCGTAATACCTGCGCTCCATTGATGATGCCTTTTTATAGACACGGTGGGCGCGCTTAACTCTGAGTTGGTCTACTCAAGGTTGATTAACCCAACTTAGATCAGCTATTCTGAGACCGAAAACTCTCTCAGTAATCTCTCTGTAAATCAACTCAGAGTTCAAGTTTAAGTGTTTCTTTACTAAAGCAGGCCTGTCAAGTAGCCATATTTGCCCAGGTATGTAGAGCCTGTTTTCCCATCATTTATATAGTGTTTTTCTGACAATAAATAATGCAGTATAATCTTTCATCTTTTTTTTTTTTAGGATGCCACCGCTGCCTAGGTATTGACATTTTGCTTATGTTTTAATGCATCACTCACATCGCTCTGTTTTTTTCTTGTTTGTTTTCTTAGACTGCTGTCCACATCTTAGTATGCCTGTAGAGACAGATGAATCTATGACATCATCATCTCTCAATCTGGCTTGGCCTGCATGCCAGCAGTGTGAATCACAGAACCTTACGGAGGCTGGCAGAAGTGGAGTGCCTCGTCCAGAGATGTGTGTTCATGATGCAAGTAGAGTGCATTACCTAGATCGTGGCTATGGGCTTCAACCTGAAGATTTAAGGGTCAGTACGTTCAGAAAACAGTCCATAAGTGATTCACATCCACCAGAAAGTCCTGCAGGCCTGCCCAGTTTCTACTTGCCTCAAAGTCCAAGACAGCACCTTCAGATAGACCGTAGATCCCATATAGAAGACCTGAGTGAACATTTTTCAAGAGTCAACCTTCACCGTCACTGCAATTCCACTGTGTTGTATTCACACACCCAAAAGTCTGTGACTGAGGATGAGGAAAGTATTGAAAAGCCGCGTCCTCTCCGTACTGACCAGGGGGACGATTTCTGCAGGTTTCCTTCATCAAAAAAGGCCGGATTTTACGGTAAGCCTGTTACTGTCCAGATAGCATATGAATGTGGGCCACTTTAGGCAGTTATGCGGCACTGGTGGTCTTCCTTCAGCCCAGACAAAATGAATGTGAGCCTGAAGTGGCCCACCTGTACAATGGCAAAGGGGGGCCAAAGATTCAACTTCATACATGGGCCATTAAAGGCAAAGATTTGGCACTTATGGCAAAATGTAATCTGAATGTGAGCCTAATGTGGCCCATGTGGAAAGTGATCAATTTGGCCCAAATGATGGAGGACAAATGTGGGCCACACACAGTAAAATCTTCAGAGTAAAATTTACTCCGTTCAGAGAACATTTGGTCCCTCTCTAAATTGAGCAAAATTTACTCAGCAGCAGAGTTAAAGTTAATGAGACAATGATGGGGTTAATTAAGTGATGATTGAGCACTGATGATGAACACCTGCCACAGTAAGCTCTGGCTAATGTGGCTGTGAGCCTAAAGCGGCCCGGAGGAGATATGGCAAATGTGGCCCGGTTATCTTAAAACATATGTGGAGCACATATTCTGGATCCCCATCCAAACGCCTTCGTGTGCTTTCACCCACGTGGGGCGTGGGCGGGACTGGGACTTGCGCCTGAAATGGCTGCTGGACCAGTTGGCTGCCCGCACTCAACGGACTGTTTTCCATTACCCCTGTTCATATCCCCTCTGTCTATGTTGTGTCTTGCCGGTGAGCTTATGCTAAGATAGGGCTGTTTTTCTCCCTTTTCTCACTTTAATCAAGGGCAAGCTGAGGGGTTGTTTTTTTTTGCCTAACTGTCCAAATGTATCTTTCTTCGTTTCTAAATGCTGCCTCCTATGATCTGTCTCCCCTAAAAAATTGTTTGTGACGTTTTGTGTATGGTCTGGGGGGTCCAATTTCGCTATACGAAAGTGTAGTGACAAATAAAGGCTGATTGATTGATAGACTGAAGTCACCATCATGGAGAAAAGTGTTTGCTAGTGTTTGCAGGTTCATATCCCTGAACCTCTTAATATAAAAAAGCCCTTCCATGGCCTGCGGTGTCATGAAAATCCACAAGGGGGAGAATACAAGTATCAATTCATATACAACAGGTTTTTAAACAAAGTATTGATCAGGTTGGTATTAGAAACTGTAGGTCTCAAAAAGAAAACTCGTGTATCAAATATGATATGTGCGGCTTTATAAGTAATGTTTCTCTTTCTTCTTGTAGAATCACATTGGTCAACAATAGTTGTTTATATTGGTGTTATTGTAAATCAAGTTGTTGTCGTACTGGGGTCCGTTCTTCGTACCTCGCTTAAATGATCTAAGATGATTTGGCAGATCCTGGATCTTTTTATCTTGATAACTGATCTCTCGCTAACAAGTTCGCGAATCAGATTAGAATGTCTGGATAAACTGATCTGAGATCGATGCGTGTGTTATGAAGGACAGATCTATCGATCCTCGAAATCATGATCAGCAATGCAACGATTGGCTGACGATATAGCAGCGTAATGACATCATCTGATTAATATTTAATTATCCATGTGAGCAAAATTACATCAAATTCGCAGTAAACGGCTTGTTAAATATGACACGCAATAACCTTCCACATTTGTTGTGAGCTGCAGGCTTTACACTTTCATGTGTCAAGAGTATTCATCATGTATTTCAATGCAAATCAATGTATTTAGTTCCACATTTAGAAAAGATTTTCTTTATTATAGTAGCCGGTTTTTTTTAATCGGTGTAAAGAATAACTGGTTGTTTACAAAAGCATTTTGATATTGGTAAAGGCGTCTGCAACCTTTGTGAAGCAAAAACTTTATATAAATATATATATATAGTAAAAAATAAAAATAAAAACCATTTTCCCAAGTGTATATAACTACTACTGTAAGAAAATATCAGAATTCGGAACATACTTTCTGTATTATCTTTGCTTGAACTGAGCCGATCTAATCCTGTTTATATGAATTGAACCTGCTCCCGATCAGGTTTGACCTAGCAGAACCGTTGCTATGACAACAACTCTCGGATCAGCTTTGAAGAACGAAACGATCCTGGATCATGTCAAGTCGTCAATATCCAAATCCAGCTAACTGAGTAATCCACGTACGAAGAACGGACCCCTGAACTATTATATTGGTATACAGTTATACTCCAAGTGCTTACCATTACCTTTATATGAATTGTTTTTACAGGTGAGTGCCCACCAGAACGGGTTTTATATCACTGGCATGGACAATCTGCACATTACCCACAGCCCAACTATCCGCTGCATCAGCCCCTACCTGGGTATTATGTTCAGAATAGGTAACTTTTAACTTTAAGTATATCTCTGTGTGTGTGTGTGTGCGCCTGCCAAAGGCTGGTGACGTTAGATTTTTTTTTTTTTTTTTTACAATTTTAACAGTCTGTAGAACAGATTATATTAATACTAGAGAAAAAACTAGAGTTTTGTTTAAATAAAAATGCAAATTCTAGAATAAGCCAAAGAAATAAGACACCAGAAGGTGAAACAGCATTTGGAGATTGTTAATCTGCACTAATGTAATGTATTGCAGCTCAATTTAATTCATTGAATTGATGGAAATTAACTGAAAATAGCCTTATAAATATTAAACATCATCGCTTTAAACAGAACTGAATATTTTGGAGGCAACACAGCGGTAGGTAGTGCTGTCGCCTCACAGCAAGAAGGTTGCCGGGTCACTGGTTCAATCCTCGGCTCAGTTGGCGTTTCTGTGTGGAGTTTGCATGTTCTCTCTGCGTTCGCGTGGGTTTCCTTCGGGTGCTTCGATTTCCCCCACAGCCCAAGGTGAATTGGGTAGGCTAAATTGTCCGTAGTGTATGAGTGTGTGTGTGTGTTTCCCAGAGATGGGTTGCAGCTGGATGGGCATCCGCTGCGTAAAAAACTTGCTGGATAAGTTGGTGGTTCATTCCGCTGTGGCGACCCTGGATTAATAAAGGGTCTAAGCTTTATATATTATTAATTTATTATTAGTATTTTGGAAGTGAATTCTGGAAGAACTTTGTCAAACACCATCAAACCACCACCTCTCCTGACAGTTGAGAGGGACTCTGCAAAATAAACCCTGACACTCTGACCAATGTGAGGAGAGTTTACTCACACGTGACTCGTTTTAGCTCTTTTGGTCCGTTTAGAAACTTTGCAGTGTGAAAGCGAACCACTCCAAGAGTAAAGAGCAACAATGTAACATTTGTAATCTCTGTTTCGGTACAACTGAATCAATTCACATGTGTGAAAGCACACTAAGGGCCCTATCATACACCCGGCGCAGTGTGGCGCAAGATGCGGCGCAGTAGTCGTTTGGTATTTTCAGCTTGGCGCAAGAGTTGTTTTAAGGTGTTGCGCTACGCTGTTTAAATAGGAAAAATGCATTAGCGCTCATTTGTGCATCCATAGGCGTTCTGGTCTAAAAAGGGAGGCGTTCTGAGGTGGACCGCTGGTGCGTTGCTATTTTGAGAAACTTTAATAGATTTTTCATTAGACCAAAACAAACCCGGTCTAAACTCCGGCGCAGAGTTGCGCCTCGCTTACACACTGCTTAATACACACAAGAGAGCAATAGGCAAATATCTTTACATATGAAAAAAACTAGATATTAAGGATATATATAGGATATAATAAGAATAGATATAGAATATAAATATAAAGGATTAAAATATTACAAAACATATTATTTTCTAGCCTACATAAATATGAAAAACCACTGCTTTTATGTCTTCTTCATCTCGGGAGGCTTCTTCAGTTCATTCATAACAATTTGCTTGTGTATAATGTTATTATTATTAGCAGTATTATTTATTATATCCATATTTATATTTGCTTTATTAAAAACAAGCTTAGATTTGCCCACCTGTCAGGTTTTAGACCATATGGGGCATGGCAGGTGTATTTGGAAATAACTCAGTATTTTGACCACACTTGGTCATTATTGTTCATTTATACGTTTGCTAGAAATTAGAACTGAATTTAGAAATAGTTTTGAAACAAATTTTTGCGCTAAACAAACAAAAGTATTTATTTATAGACTAATTGATGTCTGTGCGTAAAGGTTTCCCTATCCAAGAGCGAAAGTGAAAGTAGATCCATTATCTCTCATTCTCACGCAGTAGATGCTCTGTTTAACTGTTTTCTGTTAAAAAACTGTTAACTGTTTGCTGGTGAAATGCTCATTTTTTCCACTTAGACTTACTTTGCGTCCTGTAAATAGCGAATGCGCTCTTGGCGCGACGCAGCTGGCTCTTAAAGGTAATGGGAGATGAGACTCAAAACACACCTATAACTCATTAAGAAAATAAACTCAACCCTTTTAGCCCATGCACCTTGGCGCAAAGCGCATTTTCCCGTCCGTAAATTAGCAAAAATGCGTCAAAATAGAGCCCTAAGAGTGTTCAAAATGATCATCATTGTTAAAATATATGAGGCTGTTCTGACACGCACTAATCTGATATGCCCTAAGCAAATGCTATGCTTTTTTTTTTTTTTTTGGAGGCACATATCTAGAGAACCAGCCATTGCGAACCCCCCTCAAGGTACATCCGGTCAGAGCACAGCACCTATGAGAGAGCTCATGTCAGAAGTTTGTGTCCAGCCATCCCAAGCATCTGCTGTTGGCCACCCTCAAACACTAAGGCGTAACATCAGTCTTCCTGACATCTGCAGTGAGTGATGTTTTAAAGGCAAGATTTTCAGACTGTTTTTAACCCTGACTGCTTATATAAGTGTGATCATTTTCAGGAGACCTATTCATTACATACTCTATGGACATTGCAACAGAGCTGATGCCCTTCGTGAGCTTTTTGATCAATCAAGGATTCAGACCAGCTGTAAGACTTCCTACCTTTTGCTGATTTCAAATGTCAATTTAGTAAACATTCACAAATTGTCACATGTATACTAAATAAATTAAACAATATATCTTCCTGTTTTTTTTTCTTTGTTTTTAGATCGATATATTTGAAGACCGAGTTAGACAAATGGACATCAACAAATGGATGGACAGTTTCTTAAAAAATGTATTTATTTATGTATTCATTCATTCATTTTCTTTTCAGCTTAACCCCTTTATTTATTACACGTCGCCACAGAGGAGTAAACTACTTACTATTCTGGCATATGAATCAATTAATTGATTAACAAATTAATTAATTAACTGAATGATTGAGTTAAGGTTGAACTTAGGATCTAGGACAGGGGTGTCAAACTCAATTCCTGGAGGGCCGAAGCCCTGCACAGTTTAGTTCCAACCCTGCTCCAACACACTTAAGGCTGATTTATACTTCTGCGTCAAACACCGGCGTATGCTACGGCGCTGACGCATAGCCCTTCGCCGTGGCCATCGCCGTCGCTGACCTGCACCTCTCAAAAAATACATACATACATACATACATACATACATACATACATACATATATATATATTAAGGGTGTCACGATCCTCCAAATCCTCGATTCGATTACATTTTCGATTCTAAAGGCTCGATTCGATTTTAATTTCGATTATGAATAATTAATTAATTAATGACCAATTAATTATTTGTAGCCTACCGTTTAAACTACCTGACCTGCATGGTCTTTGTTTTACCCATAAACGAATCATACAGTAAATGAATAAAGGCAAGATACACACATAATTACCACCTGTCAATCACTTTTTCTGCGGGACTCGTGAATAGGCAGTGATCTGTGTCGTTATAATGGCGTCGGTAAAAAAGACGCACAACCAACAGGAACCAGCCAACAGTATCTGAGGTGTTCGCTAAAATGACTAAGTACAAGTGAGTGAAAGATTGAAGCAGTCCTCTGACTGCCTGGACCTGCTGTCTCGAGCGCATGGCTGTGTGTGCGTCTGTGTCTGTGTGGTCACGTGATGTGCATTTTCAGAGGTAGAGAGGAAGGAGGGCTGCTCAGAAATGCTACACGCCACTGTGGATGTCAAATCGCTGTCGTTCTAAAATGCCGTTTAAAAACAAAGACAGTGTAAACAGGGCCTGAGTGTGAACTTTTCGCGAGCGGATTTGCAACGGGGGCGGGCGGAGGATCGCGATGCTGGTGTTGTCTATCGGACGAACCGTACGTAATACGTACATAGCAGAGCTTGCAAAACTGTGTTTTTTTGTCGACAACACGAACGTTGTCAACATAACTCACTGGAAATCCAAAATGCTTCCACACCGGCGACTTCATTGAAAGAGGAGAGGGTTTAAGCTCTGTCGACGGGTCTCCTGCATCTGCAGTTTAACAAGCACTTCAACAAGCCTGTTTTTTTCCCGCTTGGAAAGCCAAGCTGATGTGACATGGGGGCGTGGCAGCATCGACGATTCTATTTTTTTATTCGATAATCGAAATTGAGCATAAATTTCGATCGATTTCGATTAAAAATCGAAATCATGACAGCCCTAATATATATGTATATGTATACATATATATATGTATATGCAAGTATATATATATATATATATATATATATATATATATATATATATATATATATATATATATATGTATGTATGTATGTATGTGTGTGTGTGTATATGTGTATATAT